TTTCTTTTGGTTTACTTAAATCTAAAGGTTTATTATCTTGATTAGAAGATTTAATTTGTGTAGGAACAACAGGTATAGGTACATAAATAAAATTTCCAACTTGAACTGGACAATCAAATGGTATTGTTTGATTTTTTAATTTACAACAAGATGAATTTGTTGTACAATGAGATAATTTATCTTGAATAAGATTATTAACTTTAGAAAATGAAATATCATCACATTTATGACAATAAGTATTATGCGATAATAAAGATAAACGTTTTGTAGGTGTTGATAATGAATCACTGTTATCAGGAGATTTACGTTTCATAGATTTCGCTTCAAAAGTAATCGATGAATCTATAAAATACAGACATTGACATTATTTTATGGCAATTAATGACCTTTATTTTATATAAAGATTAGATATATTTTCTTTTTATCTATAAAATATATTTACCTGCTGAATGACTTTTTGTTGTTTCTTGTTTCATACAATAATGTTGACGATGTGCATCTAATGTATTTCGATTACTAAATCGTATATTACACGTATCACAAGTATAAACAAGAGCTACAAAAATAATAAATAAAATATTCGTGATGCACATACATCGAAATAAAAATTTACGAGAATGTTTTTTTGATGATATTTCTAAAGGTTCATCTTTTATTTCAATATCTTTATTCATATTTAATTTTGGAAGTATAATTCTATTCGTACAAAGATATGTCCCAATTGAAATAGATTTTGTTACAATTGCAAATAATTGATTATCTATTAATTATTAAAGAAATATTTATAAGAAAAAGTAAATAAATAATTGATTCTACCTTGATATATAATATTTAAATTTTCCGAAGTATTAATATTATTTATTACTGAACAATGAACAAACCAATTATGTTTAATATCGAGCAACTGAAAACATTCTATTTTATCATCAATCTATTATAAAAATGAAAAGAAAAAAAAACAAATTTTAACATTTTATCTTTTTTTACTCAGATATTCCAAAAGATAAGAATAGTCCAATATACATTTTCTTTATCTTCTCCCTCTCTCTCTCTCGTTTTACATTTTGTTACTGCCATCCTATCATCTCATGACACGTAGATAGAAAAAACGAGATAACCATGCATGCACGCACACAACTATTCAATTGAAATGAACGATAAGAAAGAACTGAATATTTCTTATCGATCATTCTGTCAAACTTTACTACCGAGATTAAAGACATACATGTATAGTAGCAGGAAAAGGACCAAAACGATGATCTTTGTTAAGATTTGTTCGAGTAATTATAAAATTTGTCTAAAAAAATTACAAGAAAATATAATGAAATAGTGTTTTTTTTGTTGTTGTTTTCTAAAACTTACTTCTTCATCATATAGAAGTTCATCAGGCAAAACAAATAATATTTCATTGCCTTTATACGGGAAAAGAAGCGGAATGACACGAGAAAATTTTAACTTATTTCTTTACCTTTGAATGATTTTGGACGTAGTTGTTTACGACGAGACATGATCATTAATGTATTTATATCTGTAGAAGAGAAAAGCAAATGTGATTTAATCGTTGATAATCTTTTTTTAATAGATAAGCATCAATTGACCATTCCGAAAAAATATATTGAAAACAAATAATCAATGCTCAGTTTATCAAAAGCACACATAGAATCTTTTAATCTCTCACGTTCCGTTTCGTTTCACTTTTGCTCTCCGTTTTTCTCCCTCTCTCTCTCTCTCTTTATTTCGTTTTTAGATAATATTTAGATGCGCTTTCATAAGTATGTGTGTGGGGGCGAGAACATAAAGATATACAGTGTATATGAGATTGGGCACTGATAAGAAACCCAACTGAATAAGCAAGATACGAGTAAACGATTCACTTGATTTTTTCTCTTTTCAACATAATATCTCATTAGTAGTATGTTTAGATTTATAATATTGATTTTGTTTTTGCTTTTAGTGACGAGTACTAATGATAATGATGTTGATTGCAAACGAACATATATAGAAAAGCAATCAATGTTTTATATTGAAAAGTTTTTTTCCTATGAAATAGTGCATGATTCTTCTTACATCAGTAAGATAAGCGAGTCTGTGATTGAAGTCAGTATATATATATATATATATATCGAGAAGACGAAATAGAATGAGAGAGAGAGAAAGCAGGTTAACATCATTGTGCCGATGTTTTTTGCCATTCACTTATATACGATGAAGAGATAAGCCGCTGCACATATCCATAAAAAAAACGTTTTCTCTCTCTCTCTCTCTCTTTACTTCATTCTTTGGCCATTACCGACAACACTGCGAAATTGCAACGTTGTCGTTTCTTTATCTTATCGGTGCATCGATCATCATACGAGCAAGAAAAGAATCGAACTTACCTAAATGAAGTCTATCTTTTACTTGAAAAATATATATATTTATATGCATATATATATCGTGTCAAACTTACACTTCTGCTGATGTTAGTTTGAATGATAAAGTAACTATTAAGAGATCAACAATATCTTTTGAATTATATTCTTAAAATTAATTTTTTTATTTATCAGAATATATAATCAAACTTATCCTTGAATATTTTGATAAATGTACAAATGTTCTATCATACTTGAAAAAAACAACATTTAAATTGATAATTATTGCATAAAACTATAGTCTGTACTTGTGGAAAATCAAATTTTCGTGTAATAGTGGTTAAAGTAAACAAAGCATACAAATATATGGATAAATTTATTTAACAAGGCTAATTATTAAATCTAAGAGATAAAACAAGCTTCTCTGAGATAATAAGAATATAATGTATGAAAAATTTTAACGAAGACAATTATACATCACATTTCCTAGTTTTCTAATGCTTGTCAAAATATTCAAAAGATATTGTTGATTCCTTGGTAGTTAATACTATTTTAACATTCAAACTAACCCCGGCAAAGAATGTAAGTTCGACATGACATATATATGTATGTATGTATGTGCACTCTTTTCATAACAGATGTATTACTTTTAATTAGAGAAGCACAATGTGTGTATATGTTACATTCCAGTTTAAAAAAAAATAAAACTACCATCTTTCAACTCTTATCAGTTAGTAATCGAAGAGCAAAATAGACAGCGGCAACATCAGTATTAGTAATGTTCGAGAATACAGATGGTTACAATACAAAGATATGAATATATCATCTTTGAAATATAATTTTCTCAGTTTAACTTTATACTTTTTTTTATTATTCAATAAATACAATGCACAGCATCTTTAGCGTATTAAACAAGAAGAAGAAGAAGAAAAAGAAGAAAAAGAAAAAAAAACGAGTAAAAATACATATATATGTAAAACATGCACAAATCATATTAAGCATTCATAAAGCTTACATTTTTTCTTGAAACAGAGTCTCTCGATGAGGATCGTTTTAAAATAGATTTGAGCGTTGGATTTGAATTATTATTTGTTGGCCGACGATGTTCATCACTATTAAATCCATCCTCTTTTCCATTATTTTGTTGAATTTGATTCTCTTGATCACTGCTAGTTGTAAGTGTAACTGGAATTTCCATACGAAATTCATTTTTATAATTTCCATTATTCATATTATTATTAATATTATTAGTGGCAGATGTCGATTGAAAAGAAGGTTCAGATGTCATTAGTAATGGATGAGAAGATGCTTGAAGTTCATGTAGAACAGGTATACGAAAAATATTATTTCGTGATGTTGTACGAGAAGAAGATGGAATTGGTGGTAGTTTCATTGCCGCTGATATTTGACTATCAAGTGATACGCTCTGATTATTTTTTAAATTTATAATAACACGACGCGATAATGGTGGTGATCGAGTACCATTATTATTAGTATTATTATTTCCAGATATTAAATTATTACGTTGTTGTTGTTGTTGTGCTATATTTTGTATAGCTTCACGAGCCATAGCTTCAGCTCGACGTAAAGGAAATGTATTTGAAGATGTCATATTAAAATCCGATGATGATTGTTGAGGGTTATTTATTGTTACTAATGTTGTTGGTGATGACGATGACGATGCGTCTCCCATATCAGTTCTTCGACGTTGAAGTGTATGTGGTATGGGTGATGATCGAAGAACAGCACTTGATATACGAGAATTATTTGCAGGAGTTGAAGCAGTACTTTGTGTTTGTGGAAAACGAATAGGAATTTGTCGAATAGGTGATATTAATACTTTTTGATTTATTGTATCATCATCAGTACTTGATGATGTTCCTGTTGTTATTATTGGTATTGAAAGACTTAAACGACGTGTAGCAGAAGGTAAACGAGATATATTTGATGTTGATGTTGTTATAATTGGTTCTTCATTTATATTATTAAAATGATGTTGAAAATATCTTGAACTTGGTCGTAAAAAATCTTTTTGAATACAAAAAAAAAACATTTTATTTTTATTTTTTTTTGATTTAACGAAAACTTACGAGTGAAATGTGGATTCAGATTATTAGCTTCATTCTTATCTGCAATAGATGGTAATGCACCTGTCTCACTAACATACGTAATTGGTACAGATCGACTAAGATTACTTGTTATAATAGTCGTACCATCCTCTCTTGTTACTGGTATCTGAATAAATTCGCGCATAGTTGGTGTTATTGATCGATTATTTGTCATAAACGGAATGAATGTTGATTTAAAAGACCCATAAGAATTATTATCATTGCTCGTCGTCGTCGCTGTCATTGTAGGCTGTATCGTATGTCCACCAGTATTATTTTCTATTAAATATGAATCTGAAGTATTTGCAACACTATTTGGAACTGCTCGTGAATAATGATAACGTGGCATTAACTGTTGTGTTGGGACTGATTCGGGTTTTGGTTGATTTGATATATTCGTCGTATTAGAATGAATAGGACGATGTATAATGTGGTAAAGCATCGAAGAAGAAGAATACGACGACGACGAGCATCACAGGTGTCAATGATGATCTCTGAAATCCTATATAATATATATTTATGTTTTTTTAACACTTGTGCTTACAAATACGATCGAGTCACTAGTAATAGTAGAAGGACAAAAAAAATAACGAAAATTTCATTCCAGTATAGAAGCTTTAGAAAGTTTTTCAATCAGATTTTTTTTTCTGTTCTTTTAAATATTATACGACGAGGAAAACACACCTGAAGAGATGTAAAAGAAGTGAAAAAAAAGAAATATATAATAACCTTTTCCTTAAGCTCTTAACAAATTCATGTTTCATTTTCGACACATTCGTACTTCTTTCTATTTTTTTTTTCATTTTATTTACTTATTCTCAACTACAAAACACTTGATCACGACAACCAAGAAGAATTACTCGATAGAAATTTAATAAGAAATAAAAAAGAAAAGAAAGAAACTAATACTTATTTATAAGTATAATTATGCATAGATCGCCTTCACCTAAACATTTATAGAAAGAAAAAAGTATATTTATTTTATAGAGTTCGATAGAATGAAGTAAATTATTGTCGTCATCATTATCATCACCCACAAGTATTATTACTAACATCATGATATTACGAATAATACAGAGTAGTATTAAATAAAGTGCAGACAGGATTTGATGATGTACGAAAGAAGAAGAAGAAGATGAAGAAAAAAAAAGAAGGCTCGTACATAAACAAAACAACACATATAGAAAATGAGTGGGAGAGTCTGTCTCTTTGATTATGCTATCGTTGTCTATGTATGAAGAAGAAGACCTTCTGTTTCTGATTGGCTCTGCTCATACGACAATTGGCGATGAAAATTGTCAAGGAAAAAGACAAAAAAAAAAAAGAAAAGAAAAAGAAGAGTTGTTACTTATTATGTTAATGTACCAAAGTAGTATATAGAGAAGAAGAAAAAAAACTAGATCTGCTGCGGGCATACGATCAAGGATATACAGACGCGCTAATACTCGTCTTAGTATATACACATGGCTACAAAAACATTCATATTGGCACAATACACCAGAACATAGAAGAAGAAAAAGAAGAAGAAAAAAAGTATTTTCCCTATATTCCGTTTATATGTATAGACATACATATATATAAATTATCACCTGTCAAAGAAAGCGTCTTTACTAAATATGAGAAATGATTTGCGTATCTTATATTCTAGACTTCTTATCCAGTATATATTGTCTTATTCATCAATTAAATTATTTTTCGGTATTTGAATAACGTTATTATAGAAAGATATGCTTATTTTTATATATTTATTGTGTTTATAAATGACACGCATAGCAGAGAAAATTAATGTCCTTGTAATTGAACATCTGTTGATTGCATACATTACTTAGAAGATAAATCTTCAAGATATATGTGTATAAAAAAAAAGAAAAATAGTTTCACAAAAAACAACAACAATAATAACAGGAGAATAATAATAATAACGATATGTTTTACCTTCAATATTAATAAACGAGATTGATCATGCAAAAATCCCACGTAGAAAAGTTTGCTTATCTAACCTTGGTATACATGTCAAATATATTCGTATATAATTATTAATTTGCTCATGAAGAAATAATGTCATGAAAATGAAATGACATACAAAAGGTATTTGATTAATGCACATAAATATATTTCTATGTATATTAAGATTCACACCAATGTTTTTATTTAAGAAAAATATTTTTCTATTTTACTCGGAATATTAACAAGATATTTTTCAAGCGTAAAAAATGTTTTTATAATTCGAAATTTCCTTTCGTTGTTATTTTGTTGATATAAGTTCAAGATTTTCTCTTTAAATCTGTTTTTTGTTTATTATTAGATTGATAATGTAAATTTAATATTGTAATTAGTACATCCAATACTATCAATTAATATACTAGATATTATAAACATGAAGAAAAAATGAAAGTTACTCATTAAATAAAAGAGAAAATTGTCAATCATATATGGCATTTTTTATTTAAGTATGAATCTATGACATTGGTCTTGTCATCACTGTACAAATAATAGAAAAGTTGTTAATGCTATAGTACAGATAATCCAAGGAGAAAAGAGATTTTCAAAAGAAAATGGCTATGTATACATGCAAGTAAATATAACGAACTACCTGTGTATACTCATGCATATCTAGCCAATCGGCTATATCCACTCAACTGGATAGAATCCATTAATTAGTAAGTATTACATGTGTTTCATTCTTATCATAAGTGCATAAAAATATAGAAACAACTAGTCTAGAAGCATTTCTCTTTTCGACTTCCAAAGACTATGTACTGATACTTTTATAGATAATATTAAATCAAATAAACATATTCTATCTTTATTATTTTATGATCACAAATCTTTACATATACGACTTTGGATGATAAGTGTAACAATGATAAATACAAGTCTACAGAATATCTGATATTCATTTTTTTCACAGTCGAAAAGAGAAATTAGTTGTTGTTGTTCAGTGTTTATGTGTACTTGTAATAGATAAATTAAAAATAAGATAAAATACATGTAAGACCATAAAATACCGTCATATTTGCTAATTAATGGATTATATACTCAGTTAAGTGTGTATAGCCGACTGACTAGGTGTTTGCAGGTAGTTAACAATGTATTGTTGTATGTATAATATAATCGGTTGACAAAGTACACTTGAGTATAAATTAAAAAAATCAACTACACGTACTTATATACATATAGACACTTCTATAGTTTATACGCGTTGACTTTATATGATGCTCAAAGATAAAAACATTTGTAATATGTATAAGACACTTCCTTATTTTTCTTCATTAAGATTTATTAGATTAACTAATTTTTATCATTAAAAAGAAATTTGATAAGAACTTTGTGGGATATAATAAATCAAATATATTTCTGAGAGACTAAATTAATAGAAAACGTTTTTATCGAAACATAATAAATCTTCGAATGTGGTCATCAATGAATTCAGATGAAAATTATCTTAGTGAAGGTCCAACAAAAGAACAAAGAATACTTCTTTCGAAAACGAATCGAAATGATGAAAAACATTTGAGAAAAGATTCACGTGGAATTGAATATATTTTTTCATATATTGATCGACATCATCCACATCGAAAAAAAAGAATCTATCGTTTAACTTGGCGAACATTTATTGATTCAGTTATTCGAAGTATTTGGTCAAGTTATGTTTGCAAATAATTCATTATCAGGTCTTATAATAACAAATGGATTATTTACTGGAAATTGACAATTAGCATTCTATGGACTTCTTGGAACATTTATATCAACATTAACAACACATATTTCTTGTACAAAAACTTGAAATATTTCCATATACATTTAGTTTTCAAATATTAACATGAATATGGTTACTTGCTTCTTTAAAATATCGTTATTTTTATCTTAATAGACAAATTTTTATCTCTATCATTATTAACAACATTAACTATAAAACCAAATTTATTGAATATATCATGTATCTGTTCTTGAATTTTATCATTTTTTGCTTTATTTGGTGCTGTAACAAGTCAATTAAGTGCAGCTTATCTTTTTGGTTTATCTCCTCAATCAATTCATTCTGGATTATGGGGTTTTAATTACAACTCAGTACTAACAAGTCAAGCATTAGGTCGAATGTTTTTTGTATTACATGGTTATAAAATTTGGATATTAACATTATATGGTTCATTAATGACATTAATTGTTCAAACTTGTATATCATCATTCTTAAATCCAGTTGGTATGCCAGCATTAACATTTCCCATTTCTATTAATAGGTTGGATATTTTGTTTATTAAATGGTTCAAAAAAAATTATACCGGTTAAAATAGTATCAAATTTAAATGGATTTATTTATGAAGGAAGTCCTGATGCTATTCAATGTTTAATTTCATGTGGATTAAATTCAAATAATAGTGATTATGATGGAAAAAATGCTTTACATTTAGCAATAATAACAAATCATTATGGTATTGTTAGTTTTCTAATAGAAAATAGTCAAGTTCGGTTTGATTTATTTGATCATTCTAATCAAACACTTATAGATTATGTTATGAATTTCTCTAATTCTAATAAAAAAAATTATTTAATTGATAAAATTCAAAATAAATATAATTCATCGAATATTTCATCAGATATATTAAAACCAACATATACAAGACAAAAAAGTTATTTGAAAGAAAATTTAAATCCAATAAATCTTGATGAAATTTTATTTCCTTCACTTTTCTGAATAATTTTAGTACAAAATGATACAAATAAACTAAAAAATTTTCTCATTTAAATATTTTAAATTGTGTTGATTATGATTATCGTTCAATGTTACATGTTGCTGCCACTTGAAATTTAGAAATAATTAAATTTTTATCGAAAATATCTTCGGAAGATCATTTTCAACAAATTCTTTTACGACATGATCGATGGGGATTTTATGGAATTGATGAAGCGAGAAAAAATTATTTTTATAATATTGTAAATGAATTACAATAAATTTATTTTAAAGAAAACGATTTTTACTTAAATTTTGAAAATATCTAATAAACACGAATTTCTTCATTTGACAATACTGTAATAAATTGCAAATTAAGTTGATTTATGTGCAAATAGTGCGCTAGAGAAAAAAATTGTAAGAATGTTATTATTGATTGTTTCATATACCAATTATAATATTGCATGTATGAGTGATATTCGATTGATTTTGACATTGTCATTGAACAAAATCATTGATGCTATTCAAAATAACTTATGCTTCATGTAACATAATCAATTAGATCAATGTAACCGAACGTAAACGCTTTGAATCCAAAGTAAATTTCAACTAAGGTATCTGCTCATACAAGTCTTTTTTTATATACTCAATTAAACACTATTTTTGATTTATTTAATATTTATTTGTTGTTCTTTTTTTATATAAACCTTTATCGTACTCTCAATAATCATATGATTATTATTCTTTTATTTATTTGTCGTCTATTTGTAGTAATAGATATTTTTCCAGGAAATCTTTTTTATTATTGATTTGATACTGCATAGTATAATATGCACATTTTTGCTTTGATTAGATCTTTTATTGACATTGCATTCTATTTAACACAAGTGATATTATTGGTATGGATAACTAATTATAGAAAGACATATATTTTATGATTGATTAGTATCAGCAAAACAAGAAACGTTTCTTTATTCATTATCTTCATCTGATAGTAATGCTTACTTATTATTTTATTTAGTATTATTTTCTACTTTTTGGTTCATTTGTCGAAAGCACTGATAATTATTCAATAAAGAGATGTATTAGCTCGTTTCGTATGATAACAAATTCATTTTTTCTAAGATGTAATATTATATGTCATCAATTTATTCCAACTGTTATTATTATTGCATTTACTGTTGACCTTCTTGTATGTATTATTTTACAGAAAGAAATTGTTTGCATCGATCAGTCAACTAGTATCAGCAGGAAGGATGATAATTCAATTGTTACTAATTCAACAGTTTATCTTGTAGTTAATATTCCATGGTCATGTATTTATCTTGTTCATTATTTTAGGTTATTAAAGAACATGGGAACATGGATATCGATCATGTGTAACTTTTTTCGCTAATTCTCTTTAATTGATTTCCTCAATAGAGAGTTGTTTATCGTTGCTTGAGCTTAGAATCAAAATAATAAATATTCAAGCGAGAATAATCATACTACGTAGATCAAATGGTGTATAATTATTATCAACAATTGTTGAATTTCATCTAATTTATTTCAATAGAATAAAATAAAACTATTTGAACATTTAAATTTTTTTACTTTTTTTGTTAATCTGACTAAATGATATTATTACTATCAATCAATGGGTGTTAGACATTCCTTAAAGAAATACAATGAAAAATGAATGAATTATTTGATCATTTTCGATACCAAAATATACTATATGTATGCCATCATAATAGTTCTGTTAGACGATGCATAAAAGATGAATCAAGAATCAGTTCGATTGCACAACGAATTTTATTTTAAAATAAAATATGACACAGAGTTAAATCAAATTATTAAAAAGATAAGACATGTAATTAATATTAATAAAACAAAATACGTAGAAGATAATAATATGACTATGATTAACCTATGTATCTAGTCGTTTACCCATGTATACACGTGGGTGCATCGACATGTGTAAAGAAAAATGTTCTTAACAGCCGTTAAATTAATACTTTTTAGTTTATTTTCTCAGAGTAAGTACACTCATGAATAAAAGAATTTTTTTGCTATAAATTTATATGTGCTAATCTTAGATTAAACATGACTATAAAGGTTATAGCCATTGTTCCGTGACATTCGTTCAGTGAAGTCAATGCTTAACGATGATTTCTTTTCAATATTGCGTATAGACGCTTTGAGAGAATGAGCAATATTCTTTTTCTTCACCTATTTAATGATTAAAAAAATAAGAAAAAGAAAGAAAAGGAGGACTGTATATATATATATTAAACATTGGTGATCGAGTCTAAGAACGGTTTGTGCGACACGGTACAGTAAGCATTTTTCGATATTATCAATATGTTAGATACTCACTGCTTCTTTCCTCCTTTAGATATAATGTTTGTATGACTTTGTAATATTCATGTGAAGGCTAAACAAAAATAAGTGTAAGCTCAAGTATTCTATAACAGTAACAACTAGAAATTTATATTTTTCAGCAGTTACAAGAGAAGATCGTTGAATCCTTTCGTAGAACATTTTAATACGAAAACAGAACAAAATGACAATAGTAGTGCACTAAACGATTGATTTATTTCTGGACGTGTATATTCGTTCAATTCAATTTCGAGTATGTTATTATTGACAATTGGAAAGATTCTCTTTCATTGAAAGCTATTAAATTTTGGATAGAAGTGAAAAAAAAATAAAAATATAATTATTTGATTATCACGCTTACATAAACTAACCTTGATGTTATTACCAAGAAATATACTAATTGTTTTCGATGATATTTTTACGATAGATGATAGACTAGAAGACGAGTACCTGACTGGTATAGTTTTTGAATCTGAAATATCCTTGTATAGGAAAACTTATACGATTTTCTATATAAACTATTCGTATATTCAATAGAAATCGTTATAGATGCTTCATGCAATTCTGTATTTCGTAAGCTTCGATTTTCATCATTGTCAGAAGATTGAACAGCACAGATTTCCGACGATTATAACTGTGCTTCATTTTAACTAGAACAGGAAATTTCGAGCTTTTGACCTTATTATTTTTTTCTTATAATATAGAAGTGGTTACAGATAAGAAGATAGGGATATAAACGGATAGTTTTCAACGAAATCAAACTAAGACGTCAGACACAAGACATTTCGTAAGTCAAGTGACATTGTATTAAAACAGTTGTTAAAGATTTTATTAATTCATTGCTTGTTGTGAAATGATTTTAGATAATTTTTTATTTTATAGTATAATTTATAGGTCAATTTTGTTAAAAAATTTGAAAACAATCGATTTAAAATGTCAAAGATACATCGCACATATGTACATTATCAATTGTGTCGCCATTCTGGACGAAAGTTTCTCATTTTTTTCGCTACATATTTTGTCATGATTTATCAACTGTTTTTAAAGAAATCAATTGATTGTTCTCAGTTATGTCCATATGAATCAATTTTAACAAACAATCGACTCATATTTGATAAAACTCATTCTATAGAACATTATTCAGAATTTGTTTGTCCACAAAATTTTCGTAATTTAGCTGACTGGGTTTATGGTTGGCCGGATAATGTTTTTGAAGAGAAGATAGAAGTTACTACTAGTGAACATATTATTGCACCTTGTTTACCATCTGGTAGCATTATATTTGTCAAACCTGATGATTCTGAAAAATTTTTCCATGATATTTACCCATATTTGATTAATAAATTTGTTCTTATTACAGCCCAAGGAGATGCATCATCACCGAACAAGTTTCTTTCTTATCTTCATGATACCGATTCAAAAATTATCCATTGGTTTGGTCAAAACACGGATATTGACTCTCAACAGACTAATAAATTTACTTCCATTCCCATCGGTATGTATACAAAATTGAAATTTAAAACGAACAAAAAAGTTTTCAAAGTTCTCATCATAGTATACTAGAGATTTCTTTTTGTGTATATCATACGTCAATGTATTGCATTTAGCTGCAGTATTTTAAAACTTTTGGATTATATTGTAATAATTATTTTACTAGTTAAACTTTTTATTATTGAATAATATTAAAAACTATTGTTTTTATAGGTATAAATTGTTACGAGATGGCAAATGGAATTCGATATATACATCAACAAAATTCTAATAATACACTTCCATCGTTATTTGGTGGTACAGATGAACCTAGTCAGTATTCACATCTTCTTGATATAACATATAATGTGTTGAATGGATATTCAAGTAAACGATTATTACTTCTCAATTTTCAAAAAATGACTGATCCAACTGGACTTCGTTCACAACTTTGGAAAGTTTTTTGTCGCCGTCGTTTTACTTCTGCATTTGTTGAATGCCTTGACAAACCAAATGGAGTTAATATTTCAAGTCTACCAAGTATCTATATACGAAATCGTCAATATCCATTTTGGCTTTCTCCTCGTGGTAATGGACTTGATTGTCATCGAACATGGGAAGCACTCTATTTAGATACAATTCCTATCGTTTGGAATATGACGTTAAATCCTCTCTTTGTCGATTTACCTGTGATAGTTATTAATAATTACAATGAACTTACTGAACAATTTCTACGTACTAAACTCAATGAAATAGCAAAAAATAAAGTTAAAAATCCATCATTTTATCGATTTGAAAAATTAAGATTTAGTTATTGGCGACGTATGATTTTAAGTAAATCAAGATATTCAACTACAACTACAAGACGACAAAATCAATGTTGGCGTGCTAAAACTGTGACTAAAATTAATTGATTAATAGTATTTCTATTTAGTGATAATCTATTTTATAAAAAATATATTGTTAAAGTATGAACATATTAAATGTATCTAGAACAATTCATTCCTAAAAATCTTAGTATCAGATAACTATAAGAAGATAAAAAAAAGATTGAAAATATGCTTTTATTATTACCATTTAATCAATACAAAAATCATCAAAGTTAAAGTTGAACTTAATTTGGACGCTGAATCGTTATACGATTCGTTGTGGATTGATCTTCTAAATAATCAAAAAAAACATAGAATTTATTTCATTGTAAATTCTTTCTAACTTACTTCTGATACAAAAAACACATATGTATTTGAATAATTTATTTATTTGTTCATGAAAGACTTGACGAAAGAGTGGACTTGTAAGAGTATTCACCGGAAATGATTTAGCAAAATTTAAATAGTAAACAACGAGACTTAATTTATCCAGAAATAATTCATTGGTAATTCTATAAATATTTTTCTTTATATTATTTGTCGAGAAATTATATACTAAAAAACTACAACGAAAAAACGTTAGTAACATTCCCAAACCGATTTGAACGAATATTATAGTCAGTAAATGACGATCCAAATTACGATGTTTATTTCTATGATATTGTAAATGTTTTATTCGATATCGTAATGCTCTAATTCGTATGCAAGTACTAATTGTACAAATAAACATAATTGTATAAACCACAAATGGACTACTCAGAAAAAGGTATATACTAACACATATTCTATAAATACCAGGACGAGGAACGCATTCATATATCTTATTATTGATATCTTTTAGTTGTAATTCAAATAAGAAAAATACATGAGAAGTGGAAAGTATTACGAATACAAAAGTGGTAATTGATACACGCCATGCAACATGTATTTTACTGAAGTTACGCCATTTTCTTGAATTGGACGTTGATAAAAATCGATCGATTGATGTAAACATTAAAAAACAACTGGATAAAATTGGCATAACAACGACTAAATAGGTACGACATTTACAATAGAGAATTGGACCATTTGATAAAAAATTTACATAACGATCACTCATAAAACGTGTTATACTACTGAATAAAAGATAAATAAGATCGAATATTGTTGAACATAGGAAATAAAAAGCACATGAATTATAACGTAGTTTTTTCGATGAAAAAGTTATAATGTTACATATACTACCTAATGTTCCGACAATAATCGTTAAAAGTGGTATATACAATGTTGTCCAATTAATTATTGTATTCGAAATGATAATATTCTTATTAATCATTATTATCTGAAATATGAATTTCTAATATCTATTATCTACTTTATTTCTTAATGCACATATATATTGCAGTAATTGACGTTTGATAAATAGCGTACAAGCATTTTTCATAATAATTCATGTTCATTGACTTTAAAGTTTTTATAGGTCAATAAGTATATCTATTTTAAATTATATTTTTATACTAAAATCGATATAAAAATAACTGAGCATCTTAGTGTATCTATATTTATTGAAGAATGATATAATCTTGCTAAAATTAAAAAAAAGGAATAAACGAAACTAATACTTAATTCATCAATGTTTGTTTTCTATATGGTATTAAATAAACGATTTTTAACGGTAATATGACTAAAAAAATAATATTATATGCTATGTGTATCTATGAAAAAAACAACGTCTTTTCTCTAGTTCATATTTGTATAATTATAAACTATTTTATCATTATATCATATACTGCACTTATAGAGAAACTAAGAAGACATTGGAATAGTCAAACACGTACTGAGTAAAATAATTGTCTATAACAAATTAAGACGTGATATACCGTGGGGGATCTGTTTAAAGTGTGAATGGAGAGTTTTAAGATGTAATCATCTTTTGTTGTCATCTTATTCATCTTTCAAGGTAGTTTATATAGAAGAAGCCATATTTATTATTTTCATATAGATAGAAACAAAATATAATGAACCTTTTAGCTATCTAATTCTGACGCTTTTCTCTTGTTTTATACTATATTTTATAGCTCTATTCGAGAAAACAAAAGCAGAAAGATAATATAAATGATTAATCATCATAAATTAATAAACCAATAAATTATTTTTTTAACGATAATTCACTTATACGTACTATAATATGAATGAGATTAAAAAAATGTTCTGTACTATTGTCATTAGTATTTTCATTCATAATTTATATACCTTTTTTTCGCTCATATTTTAACTTGAAAGCAAAAATAAACACAACTTAGTATAATCTACTTCGAATATGAATATTTACTCGTCATATTATCCTCTCTTTTATATGCGTGAAACCTGACAAATATATATATTTAATAGAATACGATTTAATATTAAATAGGGATCTATAAAAAGAAATGTAAAAGAGTAGTTTTTAGATATGTCAGGATTATTATCTTCTACATATAAAATACAAAAGGGAATCATTAAGATTTAAATATAAGGTCAAGATTTTTTATCAATTTTGTTTTTCGATAAATAATGAACAATCATCATCGAGAAAAGAAATAAAAATAATCAAACGAATATTCACTATCGTCTGATCTAGAAAGATGAAACATCATCAATGCGTTAATATGGAATTCTATCTTTGAAGAAGATATTATGAATCTTCATGATGTATTTTAGGACAAGAGATTCGATGATGAAAAATTTACGATTCTTATACAACTCTTTTATTGATTCAACTTTAATTAGTATTAACAGCAAATATTTCGCACTATGATCTATTTTAGCTAATAATCATAAATAAGGTATTGATTTTATTAAACGTTATAAAATTATTTGAAATAATTTCATGAAATTGTTTATCTCATGTAACCGCTAACTTTAAATTACACGTGTTATTAAGTGTATTTTCTTTCTTTTGCTCTTATGTGACTATTTTAATATACGTTAGTGAGAAAGAAAAAGGAATATAGTTCATTTTTTTTACAAGTATTATCATTTTATCGTGTTTTTATTTGATTGTAGATAGTATAAAGAATTTCTTTTCGGTGTTAAGTATTTTGTTAATCTTCTATTTTTCACTTGCTATGTTCTTTTCATTAATTCAATTATTATCTTAATAAAATGATAGTCTAATTTAATAGACTGATTGTTTTTTTATTTATAATACTGTTAAGGTGTGGGTGGAAGATGTATGTTACATCCGCACCGCTCATCCTCGGATAATTATATAATCTAGAAAAAATTATGATTGGTTATATTGCATTTATAGGACATTACAGAGAAACAAAATTATTTTATGAGAAAAAAAGGACAAAACATATCTTTCGAATAAAGGAAAATTTTTATCACAAGCTAAATTTGATTTAATGATTTAAATATTTTAAAAATACATAGCGGACATATGAAAAATTAAACATTCTGTCTGAATTAATGAGAATTTCTATCTGCATCTATTCGAACGCGTACAGCTAAATGTTTTGGAAAACATGTAATACGTTGAACATATCCACCAGAATTATTTGCTGCATCACCTGGATCTTCAAATGAAACTCGTTGCATCAAACGTACTATAGCAATTTTTAGTTCAAAAAACGCTAAATCTTGACCAATACACGCACGATGACCTCCTCCAAATGGTAAATAAACATATTGAGGTGGATTTTTGTCCTCATTTAAGAATCGTTCAGGTATAAATTTTGTTGGATCAATTTTCCAATAGCGTGGATCTCGATGTAGATTATAGGTAGCAATTATAACTGTATCTCCTTTTTTTATAGGTATATCATCAATCATGTCATCACGTGTTGCTTCACGAGCTATGGCTCCTGCAATAGGAGCATATCGAAGAATTTCTTTTGTTACACATTCAACATAAATCAATGAATCTAATATATCTTGCGTTAATTGAGTTTCATGTATTAAATTATGTTCTTTAAGTTCATTTTTAATTTTTTGTTGAACTTCTGGATATTTAGACATATAAAAGATAAACCAATAAAGTGCAGTTGAAGTTGTTTCAAAACCAGCTAATATTGACATTGAAACTTCATCAAAGACTTCTTTGTGAGTTAAATAAGCTTTTGTCGATGAAGACTCATCTTTTACAGAGGCCACAAGAGAACTAATTAAATTCTTTGGTCGATTCGATGAAAAATATTCATCCTGTTGGCGTTGTTTTTCTTCAGAAATGATATTCATAACATATCGTTTCATAATGCGTAACGCTTGTTGATATTTCCAATTTAGAGTTAAGATTATTTTTCCTAACCACAGTGGAATTCCAGCTAATAATACGAATTGATTAGCGTAATGAACAAAATCATTAAATGCGTTTCGTAAATTATAAGAATCAGTTTGTGATGATGATTCAAGATCATAATCAAAAGCTATAAAAGCAATAATATTTAAAAGAAGATTTTGACATTGTGTAACGAGATCTGTACGTATTTCTCCATCATGTTTAATAAGTTGTTCATCAATTAGACGATCAATACAAGTCACAACTGTATCGAAATAAGGTAAAACTTTTGCTCGCTTGAACATAGGAAGCATAAATCGTGCGTGACGTTTCCATGTTTCACCTCGTAAAGCGATTAGACCAGTTGGAAAAAGAATCCCAAAACTACTAGTCGTTTATGTCGATTGATCATAAGTATGTCTATCCATCAGTACATGTTGAACGTATTCAATTCGTGAGATTACAACCGAAGGATAGGGTCCGAGCCAAAATAAAAAAGCATCTCCAAACTTTTCTTTTAGCGTAGCATAAACTTCATGAACTGCTACCTGACCTGTTGAAATACCTGTATTTTTCAAATTACCAAAAAGCCATTGAGGTTTAATACCGGATAACTTTTTGCTATGATCTTTAACAACGGATTGATAAGATTTAAAATAGTAATAAACCGTTATTAAGAATACGATTAATAAGATAAAAGTGGTTTCAAAAAACATGATAATAATATTTTAATAATTCAAGTTAAGAAAGAAAACGAACGGCGACGACTGGCGGATCTATTTACATATAAAAGATAACGAAAAAATGGACTCTTTCTCAGGGTATATATGTTTTTTTTTACAAAAACATCCATTATTTCAACTTTTGTTTTTCCTCCTTGAGAATAATATTTACCAGAGGGCCCTAGTTGTTAATATTTCATCAATACTTTTCAATCTATACAATAATATTATACTAGCAAAGAACTTATCCTGATATAATAACAGTTCTGATTATATTTAACAATATATTTAAACGTTGATTATTTTAATAACTGTGAGTTTTATCGGCTAAACTACAGTAAGTAAAAAATACCAAGTATTGTACTAAGTATTCAATCACTGAATCATAGATGATTACATATTTTAGTTTATATAATAATATGTTATTCTCTTTCATGAGAATGTCACACTTATAAGATAGTAATCGAATGCATTCTCAATGATTTCAATTGATTGCATATATATTTTATATATTGTTATTTTTTGTTTTAGAAAAGTTATTTGTCGTACAATGTTGTTTTACTAAGTATTCTATTCATCACATTATATATTTTTCTTTTCAAACTAAAAATATATTGTGTATTCTCTTTTACTAAATAATCAACAACAATATATTTTAATATTTATTCGCATAGTTATTGTCATGTTGGCTCAAAATAAAACAAATTTATATTATAAGTTTTTCGATGTATATTTTTGCAATTGTTTGAAGGAGGTGCTAAGTTGATTTGTTCTGAGAATTAACCATCTTTGAATAGATTCCATTTAATTTCAATAGTTCATTATGTGTTCCCTAAATCAATATTATCAAAATAATTTTTTTGTTCAAGATTTTATACTAATTACGTACTTCTTCTTTCATTTGACCTTTATCAATAACAATAATTTTGTCTGAATTTTGAATTGTTGATAAACCAAAACTTCCTATTGCAGCTTGAAGAACTGCAAAGACTCTTCAAATATATTAATTATCATTTTAAAATTCACATATTTTCTCTCTAAATTTCATATCTAAAAACATTTTGAAAAGTCGATTCACCTTTTTGAACAAGCATACTACCATACGAATAAGCAACAGCACTGATAAACAATCTCAAAGAATTAGTGATAGCTGCAGCCAATGCTATGATATGCATATGACTCATATTTTTTCTAAGTAAATAAATATTTAGTTATTGGATGTAATAAGAAAATCAATAATTTTATACTTGAATTCATGATCAAAAAATTGTTCAAAAGTGTTGATTAAATGATTTTCTTGGTGAAGAGCAACTACAGTTCGAGTATGTTTTATAACTTCAGAAGCACACTAAATAGAACATATATAGATGAATTCAATATGAATATAGTAGTTTCTTTTCACATCTATTTACTTTTCCACCTTGTTCAGAATATGAATCTTTATCTTGCGTTTTTTTATATTACCTTGTCTCTGTCCTTCTAGTTCGAAGGAGAAGAGCAGTACAAGTATGAAACATGAAAGAACCAAAGTCAGTTTCCAACTAGAAATAAAACCTATAATAAGACACGCTCCTAATGCGCTTAATCCTTGCATAATAATGTCAATATGTATCTTGAGGGTGTGGGTGTGGGTCGGTGTTCTTCATCTATATCCAGAGCCACCCACACCCACCCCACCCTCAAGATGATACATGTTGTTTAACTATGAATTCAAATACAATTAGAAGGATTGATTTCAAGTAGAAATGTTCTCAGTTACCATCGGATAGTCTTCATTTGTCTAGCCTTTTAAGTCAAATAAGATGGTATGAAACTAAGCAAAGAAATTACTGATGCTTATGAGTATTTTGTTGAATAAGTAAATATAAATAAAAAAGATATGATTTCTTTTTCATAAAATCAGAAATAGTATTTGTTCATTTATAAAAGACTTTCTATATAAGCGATTATTCCCTTTTCTGAAAGAAAGGGTTATATGACGTTTAAATCGTGGGCTCAAAATGCATAAAGTTTGTCATTCATTCATTCATTCATTCTGTCCGCAGGGTCAAAAAAACATTAAAAATCGATTTTCTGGAAAAGACATTTCTAGAGGTTTTTCGATACGAGGAGTTCGAATCTGGGGTCTGTTGGGTGACCATGGTTAGGGGTGGGTGGATGGGTGTGGGTGAAAGGTCAAAAAAACATTGAAAATCGATTTTCTAGAAAAGACATTTCTAGAGGTTTTCCGATACGGGGAGTTCGAATCTGAGAACTTTTGGGTGACCGTGTGGAGAGACGGGGGTGAAGAGGAGTCAAAGGTCAAAAAAACATCGAAAACTGATCTTTCGCGGTTTTCATTTGTTTTTCCAGTAAATGTGAAGAAAATGCATTTTTACGAGAAAGAGCTAAGCGAGTCTTCGGAGGAGCGTTACTTGTTTACACAATGGACTACTTTTTTACGAAAAGAATTTTCCTCCCGTAAAGTTTGATCAAATGTAATTGGGGTCGAGGAATGCGAATCTGAGGTCAGATTTTTTAAACTTTTTTGCGCTTGATTTTTTTATATAAAGAATAAGTTTTTTTACGAAAAATTTATGTTCGATGCGGTAGGTGTGCGTATTCATTTGCTAGACATGTGTTTAAAAACGGTTCCTGGCAGATTTAGAAAAATCGAGTTCAAACGGGACCAGGGCGAGTACAACTTTTAATACGCGAGAACGAGATCGAGATCGAGATTAAAGACCCTATCCCGCCGCACCCTAGTTGACAAGTATAATCGGATTTTTCGGTGAAATTTAGACAAATAATTTAAAGAAGAGGACAGGTGTTTAAAATCATACTGCTAAATGGTCGTAGATTTTAACTGTATAATAATATTAGAAGTAGATGAAGATCTTTCCTATAGGACAATGTAATGTACTCTATTCGTAACAGCTTACAACATAGTTATTCTTTTCTGAGTTTCTTCTTGAGAATCATAGTATCAAATACTGAGCATCTTTTTGAGAGAAATTCAGATGAAATGCATCTTTTTACTGCAAAGCTGAACTAATAGTGGAGGAAATAGTATAGTTAAACAGGAAAACGGCTAGCCGTGAGTGGCCGACGAACGATTAGGCGTTAATTTAAGAAAGTTGTTTTGAAGCACGGTTTTGAAATGAGTCTTAGTTGGTTGAAATGGTTTTTTGAAAGCACTTAATGAATGCTAATTCGAGAAAGAATCTGGCAGCATATCGTTGTGTCAGAATAAAAAGAGATGAGAAACTATGATGAACAATACGTAGTGCTATCTAAATGTTGGAAATTTCCGATTGCGAATCGATACGTTATGAATGAAATAGTTTCGGTGCACGCGAAAAACCTTAATATGATAGTTGATAGACAGAAAAATATACTACATATGGTAACGGCTAGCCGTGAGTGGCCGACCGAAGGCAGGCCGACGAACGACTAAGCGTTGATTTAAATGGTTTATTGTAAGTGTAGTAAGTGAGATTTGAGGTTTTTTTGCGAAATTGTTAAGTGATTGTATTCTTGAGCTAAAAAGAAATCTTAATTACACATTTGACCTAACAAGACCTATTCAATAAAGGACTTGTGAATGGAAACATGGCATTATTTGCTTGTTGTGGCGCGATCAGGAATAGATATGCAGTTGAACAACCCTAAAAGATTTTAGGAGTTGTCCGGGATTGTGTCATTTTAAATGAATTATTTTTTTTCATATGATCATGATTCCGGGTGATCCCACGCATATTCCAGTTTGGTTATACTATTAAAATTGTTGAATACACTTTGAGAAGAGGGTCAATTTTTTCATAACATCAGTTTTCCTGATTGTTCGGGAATATTGAAGATGTTTTGCTAAGGTTATTTTTAAAGTGTAAGAATTCTCGAATATGCGACATCTCAGCTCCTTAAACTCTTTGAATTAGGTAAGTTTTTCAAAAAATGAGATATACGGCTGCGACTGATCGTTTATTCCTCAAGATAAAAATGAACCATGTTCGATTCAGATTGTATGATGAGTAGAACCTATCCAGGTTCCCTTTGTTAACATGTATTCAAAATCAAAATCATTTTTGATGATAATCATATGAAATTTTCTTTCAGAGAAGGGTCAGCGAATCCATCGGATGAGCGTTACTTGTTTCTTGTTCATATTTTAATTGATGAATAGTTTGTCTATTTTCATATTTTATTTGCTCTTTTTCATTTCTACATTTTTCTTCGTCATTTCCCGTTTCGACGTTTTTTCTTTCAATGTTTTTCTTTCTATTCGTTCATCCTATATAAGCGATGAACTTTACTCAGAATAGAAAAAAAATGTGTAAAGTAAATAACATCAAGAGCTGCGTCAAAAAAATCGAAGTGGTATGTTAACCAGTGGCGGCAGAGCGTGGAGACTCAAGAGGCTTAAGCCTCACTTAGTTTTCAGCCCTTGAGGCTCAGCCTCAATTGTTTTTGGATTAAATATTATCTTTTATTATTAGAATTTGTTATGTTCAGCATCTAACATAATCAGATATATGTTCTAACATATCTATCTTATAATGCGGTTCACCTATTTTTTATAGATTTTTATTTTCATGATGACCGTTGTAGTTTTTACTGAGGTATAGTAAAAAGAAGACTTCTATTTTGCTTCATGTTTTAAAAAAAGTTCAAAGTAGAAAAAATATTGTGAGCCTCACTAAAGGTTAATGACGCTCCGCCGCCCCTGGTATCTGATATATACACATATTTCATTATGAAGAACTAGTAACTATATATAGGTTCCAAATACTGTTCTAGAACAAGGTGTAAACGAGAGCATATTTTTCTTTTAGGAACAACCAATAGCTGCGAATGCAGCATCAGAAGAAATAACTGTACAAGAAACCATCAATCAAGCACCAACAACTGTACAAGAAACCATCAATCAAGCATCAACAACTGTAGAAGAAGTCATGAGTCAAGCAGCACCAGTTGTACAACAAACTACAAATCAAGCACCAAATATCCTATCAATGATTGATATAAACGAAGTGGATCAAGATAAATATAATTATGAAGAATTAAAAAAAATTTTAAAAGCTGCCATAAGTGAAAATCGAAATTAATCTTCCTACTAAACTTGAAAATTTTTTAATAACTTGATCTCGTTCACTAATATCTCTTTCTTATCGATAAATTTTTCTTTTCGTATCTTCAAGTAGTTCATTAAAATCTATTTTTGAATTAACTCCATTAGCTAGTAAAGAATTTATTATTGTTAATAGTTTTTTTTGATGGTTCTTGACTCTATGAACGATTTAATTTTGGTGTTAAATTATTTTCAAATCGAGATATAAGATCGATCACGTGAACCAACTATTTCTGATTGTTAACCATTAGATCATTCACTAGATGCTTTTTGTGTTGTTTCATCTTCAATTTCTCTACTTGTTTGTTTTCCTATGAAACAAAAAATGAAAAGACTTCCTACATCATTTCATGTAATTTTTCCAGTAGTATTTCTTTGATTATGTACACGATTTGTTTTTCGTCGTTGGTTTTATGAATCAACAAGATTTAATGGATCATTTGCCATTATTGTTAGAACATCTACTGTTGATATAAAATAAGAACCTATTCGACGTGTTTCATCACGATTCATCTCAATCATATCCTATTAGAGATATATAAAAGCTAATAAATATATGATTTGATTTACTTTATATCCTGCATTTGTTCTTTGAACTTGATCTTTTTTTTCTTCAATGACTCTTTGTAAACATTCTATTTCGATATAATGCTCACTATTAACAACTTGTGTTAATTGATGATTATGGAAGTTTATCTGAACGATTTTTAATTTGTTGTTCAGTTGCTTTAATATCTTCAACAGTAATACTTTGTGTTGATCGACGTTCTCGTTGTACTTTAGTTTCTTCATCACAATTTACTCGCCATTTAGAATTATCAACTGAATTAGATAATGCCAGTGAAGTTGATTCATTAACTCCAACATCCGATCGACGACGAATATAAGGACCGGCATTATTCGGTTTATCACCTACTGTTCGATCAGTTGTACTCCATCTAAATGGTAATGATTATTTTAGAAAACAATCAAGTGTGATTAAATAATGAGAAGAGTACATATGAATTTGAATTTGTTGGCAGGCAAAAGACATGCATGAAAACTTTATTTTTTTTATTGTCTATCTTAGTCTGTGAATATTGGTTAGATATTTTATACGTAAAATACCTTCTGGGTGCCACCTCTAGCTGCGTCTCATTGAGACTAGAATAATAATGATTAAAAAATAGTATCATCTGACAAAACTAACTTCATGCAAATCTTTCACAGCAAACAGATATATTAATTAAGAAGAAATTGATGCATGCCTTATACTCTGTCTACCTTCTATTCGAATATTGTTGTTCATTAGGTAAACGAGATAAAACCAGTGATTATTGTTTCTGGGAAAAGGATCATATGTAAACATGCAATAAGTTTGGACACAAACGATTAAATGATCATCACTCCATTTAATGATAATACAAATAGAAATAATTGTTCAATTTCTACTAATTCAATTCTTAGTCTATGTAGTTTGATTTGATAATATTTTCTTCCTCGATAATGCAAAGACCATTGTTATCCATTCGAACAAGATTCTCTGTTCGATAAAATAATTTATCATTGATTTTGACAAGTGCTATGTTTGTTAAATCATCAAGCCAAAGATATTCAGCAAATATATCTACAGAAAGCAATATACTTATGATCAAATCAAGTAATTTCACAGCGAAAGGTTCATCTATAAAAGAAGCAAAACAAAATTGTCTAATACGAAATATATCAAATAGTCACTCACTGGTGCTACAAAGCAATCGAAAATATTTCAGAGCATATCGATTGTTACATTGTACAATGAAAATAAAAAACTTGTGAAGAAGACTTGGTACAGTGTGTATATATGTAATTTGTTTGTTGTCCAAGACTTTAGGATTTAATCAGCAAGAAATATAAAAATAAAAAATACCAAAAATGATCCTTAAGATTATGCATATATGATCTTATAATAACAGATTCTAACCGACTTGTAGACAAAGTTAGTATTCATCGTTCGTTTCTCGTATTTTCATAATTTGTCTAAAAAGAGAAGTATTTTAATCTAAAAGAATTCTTTATCTAGAAATGTGAACAAGTCGTCTTTCTATGCTTGAAATGGTCATTCACTATATTTAAATGTATCGCTCATTAGAAAAGAATGGAAATAACATAAGTCACCAAAATATTTGTTTCTTATTTTTTATTTAATTAATTCATTTTTCTGTGTTACATAATTTTATTCTATTTTTGTATAATCTTACAGAAACAACTCATAAGAGTACTCAAGATGACAAGTCGTACTCACTTGATGAGTACTTTCACTAGGATTAGATGATCAGTCACTGGTAATTAAATTAAGTGTAGATTCTATCATAATTGTTTTTCTAATCGGTTTATTGAATGGTTTTCCATAATCGTAATCCACATAAAGTAGGATTTGGAATTTATCTTCAATTATTTCTACACTGATCGTCAGTTTGTTAATTATAAAATTATGATTTGTAAGGGTGAGTGGGTGAAGGAATGGGTGGAATATAAAGATGACACCCTCTTCCATCTCATACACACCCACATCCCCAAAAATTTTTAATTACCTTATGTAAATATTTATTGGTAAATAAAAATAGTTGTTTACAACAGTGTTACAAGGTATATGATAACAATAAACAAAGAAACTCATTAATGGTACAACATTCAACAGCTAGTCTGGTATTACGAATAGTTTGTATTAACAGTTATGAACAACATATTAATACTTTATAATACTTTTGACTTCAAATCGAAATTTTTTAGACACGAGAAAATTAGTATAGAAGCCAACACAAAATGGGATATAAGAACTGAACATAGCAACATTCATAAGTAGGACTACGAGCTGATATTCAGCAAAACTATATGATCGAGTTTGAAGTATTTGTAAATATATAAGAGCAGGTGGCATCATTGCACTGAATATAATATATATGCTAATATCAATAATTAAAAATTGAATAAGTTGACTATCTTTTGAATGAGTAGGACGCACAGTAACAGTAGCTGTGTTGACAATAGCAAAATTGACTGGACGTATTTTTCGAAGATTTCTCACAGTCCATACTCCCGAAATAATCATTAATAAAGGAATAAGAATGTATTGGATTGAAATCATATAATAATTTATGAATGTTAAATAGAATCCAGGCTGGAAAGAACAAATGATAAGATTTGGTAGTGGTTCCATAATATGTGTCAGAAGAAATGCATGAATATGAGCTAATAACCAAAAGAATGTTACACTTATGATGCATATGTAAGTTCGACGTAAAGTGCTTTGTTGTCGTGTTAGAGCATTTGATGAAGAGATTAATATTCGATCAATTGATGCCAATATTAAATAAGATGGACTTAAAGCAGTAGACAAAAGCAGTATATAATAATGAAAATGACAGAAACTCAGACTATATAAAGTAGGATCGATATTATAACCACTTGATAGTATCGCTAATAACATAGTTGTATAAATTTGTAGAAGATTACCAATATTATACGCTACCAAATATATTGCACATGGATTTTTACGTAGATTTTTTTTTGTAAAAACAATCAAACTAAGTACGCAACTTACAGTACCCAGAATCATCAAAATTGGTCCACCGTATTTATATAAATTTGTTTGTATTGATATTAATGATGAAACGTAATCTATTTCCGAAGACATTTTAATCGATTTATCTAAAAAAACATTCAATATAAGAGATATTATGTTAAAAACAACTAATTTCAAAATTCTTTCCTTATATACTTTATACTGAGATTTTAATTAAACATTTTATCACACATTGAAAGAATGTTGTTACAAACTAATTACAACAAAGATAAACTAAGAAATCTTATTAACAGATTATAACGCAAAGAAAATGAAGAATTATGCTGTCTATTAATATATTATGCTCGTGACTAACATTATCTATGCGATAAAAATGTTGTTTATAATGTGCCAAATAGACATAAAAAACGTTTGAGAAAAAACGCTCTCATTTATATAAAGAGAAATAAGTTCATTTACCAACGAGACTATAAATATTCTTTGTATTCTCGAAGAAAATCACTCGAGATATAATAATTAAAATCTAATACAAAATTTTCTAGCTCATAATGTATACGAAGGAAATGATGCTGCACCATAGGCACAACTAAAACGAATGACTTTATTATATTAATGATTGTTTTATTTTAACGGCTTCTAGCATAGAGTACGTGAGCAGAAATAAGCGCCGTTGCATAACAAATAGTTGTTGTTTCTATTTTGTGAGAATTTCTCCAGATAAATTAGATGATACAAGTAATACGACAAACTTTAATGAGCGTTTCAATCAAATAAGTCTTACTTGATGAGAGAATAATGTTTGGTCATCTTGAAGGTGTGGATGTGAGTGAAAGTTGATTATTAGGCCCATAGTTACAGTCACGCCTACACCCTGATTTAATCATTGTAAGATAAGAGAAAATGTATCAAAATTGAAAGATACTTTATTTCGTAAATTAAAGAATAAAATTAAAATTTCTTGCATGAAATAATCCATCTATTGCATGTTTACATGTGATCCTTTTTCCGGAAATATTAACTATTAATTTTATCTCGTTCACCTAGTGAACAACTATATTCGAATAGAAGGTAGACAAAGATAAGAATTTGATTTTCTCAAGAGAAGAGTTAATGTGAAATTGAATTAAATATAAAATAAAATCTTTTTTTCTGAAAGAATTCTACAAATATGATAACTTCCTCTACTCAATCATTAGATTCCAAAATAAATCAAAGATAGGCAGAGTATAAGGCATGCATCATTTTCTTTTTAATTAATATATTTGTTTGTTGTGAAAGATTTACATGAAGTCAGTTTTGTCAGATGATACTATTTTTTAATCATTATTATCCTGGTATCAATGAGATACAGTCAGAGGTAGCACGAGATTCGTTTAGAAAAGATTAAGTCCCTTTTAAATTAAAAAAAAATCAATTTATTAAGTAAAAAACAAAATCAGAAATTTACAAGTATTGATTTAGTACAGAATATAAAAAAATTATCAACAAGTATTAAAAAGTTTATTTACATTGTTGATTAATTTTTTCTTCTAATAATTTGATCTTTTGATTTGCGATTATTAACATTTCTTTCAGTTCCTCTGTGGGACTTATTTGATCATATTCATTGTCACTTAATGAAGCAGTTGTTGTTGTTGTTGTAGCAGCTATCTAAAATAAAAAAATTTTAACTTATATTAATAATTGAAGTTGCTGCAAAACGTAAACTAAGAGAAGATACCAGAGTTTTAGAAAACCAACTGATTACACGTACCTCCTCGGTTTCTGCAATGCAGCTGTCAATGTTATTTGTTTTACACATTCTTCCTTTCCCTTCTATTATGAAGATGGTCGATCATTCAGGCCATCTAAAACATCGCCATATAAGGCATGAAATGGCTAAAGAACGGCGTAATTCATTGCTGGAAACAGCCATCGTAACGGTAGTCGTTATCTACTATTTTCGCACCGTTTACAGACCGTTGTATCTGATCTGGGTAACTACCACTTGAAATCCTAAATAGAATCGAAAATAACAGAAATCAATAAACAAAAGACTCACATTATCAATAATTGTAGCTGATGTGATGGACGACGAAGACAAACAGAGGGTTCTAGAAAAAAAAACAATAGATATAATCAATTGAGTAATAAAAGTTTTATCTTGACATATTCACTCGTATTCTTGTCTAATTCGTTTATACCTCGGTTCGTCTCTTTGTTGATCTCTTTTTTTTGAAATGGTATTTTTTACTTTATTATAATCTTTCATGGCTAGTTATTAATCAAAAAAAAATTAATAATCTACTTCAAATTGTAGAAAATGTAATGAATAATGTGTTTAACTTAGTGAGCGAATCTGTCGCTCACTACCTACGTCAAAAGAAATCATTTTGTCTTTTGTGTATATAAAACGCAAAAATACAGACTTTTCTAGTATATGGATGGAAGAAATAGTAGTGACACACTCTCTTCTCGAGTTTCCACTAGTCACTTCAGTCGTTCTGTTGTTATATGTAGTTGTGCATATAAGAGATGGAATGAAAGAAAGTAAATTCTCCACAAACTACGGGTGTGGGTGGATGCGTGTGAGTCTGTGTTTTAGAGGGATTATTCACATCAACACTTGCACCCACACCAACACCAACACCCATACCCATAAATTTAGTCATCTGATGCCACGAATATTTTGGTGCATACTAGGTAAAACAGTTTAATTAATAATAAGAAGAATGTTTTGTATAGAAGTCTCAGTTAATGTGTGATTTTAGTAGAGCAGATTAAGTCGCTTTTAAATTTAAAAATAGAAAAATTTATTGTTTAGAAAACAAATTATACATTTACAAAATCATTCGCATATAAAGTTATTTAAATCAACAAGTATATTTACTAATTTGTTTTTATTCATTACGTTGTTGATTAACTATTTTACTTTCGATTATGGCTACATTTAAAAATTCTTTCAATTGTTCATATGAAAATTTGTTTTCATTGAGTTCATTAATGTCTATCATTGTAAGGATATTTGTAGCTATTGGTTCAGCTGGTGCGGTTTGTTGTTCCTGAAAGAAAAATGTTTTTTAATATATGTGTATATATCAGATACAACTATCTTTGATTATCACTCAACAGAAACAATAAGATTTGTCAACAGAATCAACTTCACAATATTTGTTGTTTTACATAAACGTGGTATCACATAAAGATCTGTGTTGATAGAAAAAACCGACAATCTTTTCAAGTTCTACTTCGTATACCAACTTCTTGTTGTAAGATGGTGTTACTTTTAACTGGAATCAGAATCAAGGATGTAAACGTCGTTTATTCCTTGAAGAACTAGGAATGAGTTGAATCTCATCTCTTCGAAAATATCGCTCTTAAATCTCTACAAATTTGCACAAAGATATTCAAAACGAATTAGCCATTTTTGGCTATCCTATGCTAGATAAAAAACTACAAGAAGCAAATGAAAACTCTGCAAAATCCAATCGAAACCGATGTGCATTTTCACAATTTCTCAAGGACAAGAAAACCTTAAATACGTGTTACAAATGTTCAGAATTTGTTTGTAACAAGCATTCTGATAGTTTTTTTATCAAATCGGATATGTTAATGGCATATTTATATCAAACTAATGGTGTAAAAGTAAATTAGCGGTGATACAAAACCATATAATATCAGCAAAGTACAAAAAAGGCTTGGGACTTCTAGGGTTAACTTACCACTTCGATTTCTTCGACGCAGTATTCAATATTATTTATTTTACGCATTTTTTTCTCTTCAATTATGAAGATGGTCGATCATTCAGGCCATCTGAAACATCGCCATACAAGGCATGAAATGGCTATAGAACGGCCATCGTAACAAGAGTCGTTATTCACTGTTTTCGCACCGTTGTATCTGACCTGGGTGACTACCACTTTAAATCCTAAATAGAATCGAAAATAACAGAAATCAATAAACAAAAGACTCACTTTATAAATAATTGTGGCTGATCTGATGGACGATGAACAGAGGGTTCTCCAAAAAAACAATGAATATAATCAATTGAGTAATAAAAGTTTTATTCTGTCATATTTACTGATATTCTTCTCGGATTCGTTTACATCTTCTTTCATCTGTTTGTGCATCTCGTTTTATTGAAACCGATTTTTCAAATTTTATTTTGTTTTTCATGGCGAATTATCAATCTAAAAAATCAAACAAAAACATAATAAAATCAAAATCGCAAATTAACGTGTTTAACTTGGTAAACGAATCTGTCGTTCACAAGTGATTTTATATAAATGTTTATCATTTTCTTTTTTTGTGTCTATCATTCCTTCTGAGGTCTTTATATATCCATTGTCTAAACGATGATGTATCGAAGTCATCGATATCGCTATAAGTCAAAAGAAATCATTTTGCCTTTTGTATATATAAGACGCAAAAATAAAGATTTTCTTTAGTATATGGATGGAAGAAATAGCAGTGACACACTCTCTTCTCGAGTTTCCACTAGTCACTTTAGTCGTTCTGTTGTTATATGTAGTTGTGCATATAAGAGATGAAATGAAAGAAAGTAAATTCTCCACAACCTATGGTAAATGTGAATAGTTTGTATTTATTTTGATATTCTGATTGAGAGATAATCCTATAACTAACAGTCTTGATTGACACAGATTAAATTGACTTTCAATCATCTTCTAGTCGCTAATGAAAATAATTAAATTCTTAAAAAAATGTACAACCAATTAGTGAATAAGTGGGTATGGGTAGAGGTATCATATTTATGTCACACCCACATCCATCCACGCCCACACCCACACTCTGAATCGACGAATATTATTCAAGACAAAAACATGGAGTTAAACTTTGACATTTGTTGAAATACTACAAAGTTCTAAACTCCAAATTTCGAGCTCACTTTTTTTGACAGTTTTATTTTTGCAGAAAACTTCGCAATATATTGAATCATCGCTTTACAAATGAATAAGAATTGATGTTATCTATATCAAATTTGTTCTCTTTTATTCTAGGAAAAGCGATCTTATGAACGAAAAATCTCTGAATTAGAAGAATTAAAAATAAATAAAAATAATTTTTTATTACATTTAATAAATATCTCTTTTTTAAAGAAAATGATTTCAGCCAAATGAGTGAGATTATGTTAGAGAAAATTAAGTTACTTTTAAATTTAAAAACAAATTTATTATTTTAATGAAAAAACAAAAGCTTTGATTTACATAAACATTCAGAGTACAAGAAAAAATCATTAAGTATTGAAAACGTTTAGTTCATATCTTTGTTTAATTTAAATTACGTTGTTGATTCATTTCATTTATCAATGTTTTGTTTGCAGCAATCATTATTTCTAAACGTTTTTTCAATTCCTCGTTATCATTGATTTTATCAATGTCTGTGTCACTTATAATTGATATTTCATGAGTAATTGACATTGACGATAGAGCATTTATCGTAGCAGTAGTTGTGTTTGTTGCTGGAGCTTCTATCTAAAAAAACATTTTTTAACTTATATTAATAATTGAAGTTGCTGCAAAACGAAAACTAAGAGAAGATACTACAGTTTTAGAAAACCAACTGATTACACGTACCTCCTCGGTTTCTGCAATGCAGCTGTCAATGTTATTTGTTTTACACATTCTTCCTTTCCCTTCTGTTATGAAGATGGTCCATCATTCAGGCCATCTGAAACATTGCCATATAAGGCACGAAACGTCTATAGAACGGCGTAATTCATTGCCGGAAACGGCCATCGCGACGGTAGTCGTTATCTACTATTTTCGCACCGTTTACAGACCGTTGTATCTGATCGGGGTAACAAACATTTGAAACCTAAATAAAATCGAAAATAACAGAAATCAATAAACAAAAGACTCACTTTATCAATAATTGTAGCTAGACTGATGGACGATGAATAATCTTCCCGGATTCTTTTACATCTTCTGTCATCCGTTCGTGCATCTCGTTTTATTGAAACCGATTTTTCCAATTTTATTTTGTTTTTCATGGCGAATTTCAGTCTAACAAATCGAACACAAACATAATAAAATCAAAATCACAAATTAATGTGTTTAACTTAGTAAACGAATCTGCCGGTTCACCAGTGATTTTATATAAGTGTTTATCATTTTCTTTTTTTTTCAGTCCGTCATTCCCTCTGAGATCTTTATATATCCATTATCTAAGCGATGATGTATCGAAGTCATCGATATCGCTATACGTCAAAAGGAATTATTTTGTCTTTTGTATATATAAGACGCAAAAATAAAGATTTTCTTTAGTATATTGATGGAAGAAATAGCAGTGACGCGTTCTCTTCTCGAGTTCCTGCTAATCAGTTTAGTCGTTCTGTTGTTATATGTAGTTGTGTACATGAAAGAAAATTCATTTTCGTGTGCATATAAGAGATAGAATGAAAGAAAGTAAATTTCTCACGACCTATGATAAATATGAATAGTTTGTATTCATTTTGATATTTTGATTGAGAGATATCGGATGATTAACAGTCTTAATCGACTCAGATAAAATTGACTTTCAGTCATCTTCTAATCGCTAATGAAAATAATTATATTCTTTAGAAAACTGTACAACAAATTAAAGAATAAGCGAATATGGGTGTGGGTAGAGGTATCATTTTTATTTCACATTCACACTCAAATCCACCCACACCCACACCCTCAAGATAGGTGGAATATAATGAATCATCAAAATATCACAAGGTTACGTTTGTAATTGACGTTGTCATAAAGGTTGTTCATTTGTTTCTGGAATATTGACGTTTTGTTGTATTGACGATATCGATGCTGTTGGTTGATTTCCAGCATTACTACTGGGGTTATTGTTATCTCCAGTATGGAAACGTCGAAAAAATTCTGTATTATTATACGTAATTCAATTTTAAACTTAGAATAAAAATATATGTATACTGTAGTTGACATGTAAATTCGAACAAATAGAACTTGTTATAAAAATCCTGAAATTCTGATCCCTACACATAAATTGATAGTTCAAAACTTCAGATTCAACTGAAAAAATCTAAATTTATTAAAGTTATAGTTGTAACCATAATATGATCTTACAATAATCATCAAAGAGCAGCCGAAACGTGCATACATTATGCATAATTAACTAATGACTACAAAGAATAATCTAGACGTTGATCCTTATAACGATTATTTAACCAAGCGAATGCGATACTGCTGACATCAATTTTATTACTAAGATTTTTTATTACGATTAAACTTCTAAAAACATAATCTAATATATTTAAAATATAATTTATGAATATATATGTCAGATTTTTGATAATATAACAAAAACTTTGCACCTGATAAAAAAAAGATTTCGATTAATCGTCAATTTTGAAAAATCGTTTCTTGTGCCATATTCGCGATTAATCCTGATTCAATCACCGATTTTTCTTCAAAATACGATTAATCACGATTTTTCTCGATATGGGAAGATTAGAATACTCACACGCACACCGCACTCTTCTTCACCTACATTCAAACTCTCACTCTCACCGTGTTGTTATTTCACCAGAATATCGTAAGAAAAATTTCAATATAATATGCTGTATCGAAGTGTATATGAATTTTCAAAAAAATTGAAGAAAAAACTACTTTTTGATCTTAGATACTCTCGTACTCTTTACTACGATTATCATGATCAATAATTTGAATATTTATGTAGAACGATAAGACATAATTCATTTAATAGAATAATAAAATGTGTTAGTTATAGAAAAAATATGCTTGATTATAGAAAAAAGAAATTGTCTGGTAAATAACTAGTATGTTTATCAACAACCACTTTTTTTTTTGAGTTTTTCTAATCCCGAATCGAATTTTGGATTATGCTCAGTTGATTTATCATGAATTACCGAATTGACAAATTGTCGTTCTTTACTTGTAAGCATCGTTTTGCCACTGTTGTCATCCTTTTGTCGAATATGTGCTGCGTCTCCTCTTTGTTGGGCACTGGCATGATCCGGTGCCCCAAAGGACATAGAGTTTGATCCATAGAACGACATTTTTACGATTCACAATCTGAAAAACAGAAAAGTGAATAAATCACAAATGTTTAAGCATAGAGTAACAGAAAATATTAGACAAAAGATTGAAATAATTCTTTTTGTAGAGGATATATTGTTGCGCTAGTGTCATCATTTATACCGTTGAGGTAATATTCATCTAATGTAAACTAAACGGTTAGTGTTTGAAATAGAAGACAACAGATGCGTGTCTTTACGCGCTTGTAATACGAGCAGTTATTCACATAATCTCATAAACTATCAGATTTGTTTTAAATTCTCTTCAAATGAGAATACCTAATAATATTAACTTTCGTCTTTTTCTTCATTGGCATGCTGCGTAGACCGTCGAAATATCTGCGTATTCCATCAAGTTTGTTACTGAACTGATAAAAATGATGAAATCGCTATCACTAAAAAGTTCAGACTGACTGCAAACGAATCATTAATTGCTATTTCAATATGTTGAAAAGAAGTCATATCATATACATATATAGGGAAGCTGTTAGGATTTGATTGGAATTTAGCATATTCTCTGTGACAGAGAGTGAAGTTGAACATGTGCATGTCTGGTAAATTTATACGAAGATTGATAATATTCATCAAAAATTCAAAATTCTAGGTCTGTATGACTAGTATTGCTAAGTGATTCTTCAAAAAAAACTTGGTTAAAAACTCTATAACTAGGACTAGGAGATATCCTACTTAATGAAATTCTAGTAGAGAGAATGTCTTTCATTCGAAAACAAAGAAAATATTTTTTTTCTTCTTACCTTTCAGCCTGATCGATAAATAATTGATGCGATGAGAGAATGATTGTGAATTTTAACATCGTTTATATAGTACTGGTATTGAGAGAAATTTTTTGTTTGTGACTGGAGGCTTTTTATTCAAGTGCAGCGCTGTGAAATTTTCCATTAATTTAGATTGAGAGAAGACCTGCGTTATACCACTGGAGCTGCTTTATAATAATACAAGAATTATAAAATATTTTTTTCTGCACGAATTCCAGTACCGTTCTCCTTCCTACAGAATTGTCATGCTTTTGCTCTTACACACGCAAGCTTTCATTTTAAGTCAGAACGAAAGAAAAAATTCAAATGTTTCTTTCCGTCGTCTAGCACTTAAATAACAAAACACTTCTACAGTATTCGATCATCAATAAAGTTAACCATCAAAGGGAAAAAAACCACAATAATCTCAACATAGAAGCATTTGGCTTGGACAAAATATAAGTATCGGTTGAGGAGTGTGAATGTGTCTGTCAGATGGTGGACGTGGATGTGGGTGGCTGTAGGTGTGCATTTGGGTGTGAATGTGGATGTGGGTAATATCTTAAATGAGTAACTACACCCACACCCTCGTTGATATCTGCTGAATACATGTCTCTAATCAATGTAAAAATTTTTACAATAAGATTCTTCAAGATATCGTGTTGAGTTAATGATTCAAACAAATTTAAAGATTTGAGAACGGTGCAACTGCTCATAACAATAACATCTACTCAAAAACAAATAAAAATATAATCAAAAACTACGGAGTATTATTTCGAAAATTAAAAGAATATTTCTAAATCATTCTATGTAAGTGATAGTTATCTTCTAAGCAGTGAATTATCGATTTTGTTTAATTTTTAAATGAATATGTAAAAAAAAGTTGAAACACAAGTTTTTCAGAATCTATATGTAGATAGGTAGAACCATGTTTATTTTTGCGACAACAATTATCAATTATACGTGTTAGTCATGCTATAATGATAATTATGAACACTTTGGGACTAATTGATAATATTATGTGTCTAATTAGTCTGAGTCAATAAGTTGTATTAAAAATGAGAGTTGGAATATATATAATAGAATTAACAATTATTTTTCTTATCACGACATGTATTTGTATATTTTAAATTTTTTATCTTGTACTAACTCAAATAGCATTGATTTCTCATACATACGCCCGATATCGATTAATTGAATGCGCTTGCATTGCTACCGAGCAAGCCAAGAGGACGACCTTACTAAAATATCATACAATACAGTTCGTAGTTGAACCGTGACAAAATATGTACTTATACAACTGTGTATTAGTATTAGTTTGTTGTCAATGCATGATCCTTTCATTCGTCGCCTAGTCGATAATGAGATCAATCAACAAAGTTGGCGTAATCTAAGCTTTGTTCAACATCACGGTTATAAACATATGATTTTGTTTTGATAACATTCAATTTTGTAGTCTATTTTTGGTATAAATATAATTTCAGCTATGATTATTATTCTCATTCAAACAGTTCGACAATCTTCAAATGTTCAAAAGCAACACACATTTAAAGAACATCTAATAACAGTTGTATCATCACAAAAATCTGATGATTAGTTCATTTATACTTCTAATATTTATCTTGCTATTTGCCATCATTTCGTAAGCTCAGTCTTCATCTTATTATTTACTTTACATTATTTCTACCATGTATTACAATATTTTTCGTTTTAATTCGTTCATTAAAAATGTACAAGCAAACTTTCACGACAACAATCAAAAGCTACCGACATGTGATACAACGACGATTTCATAGATAATAAACACGTCTGTTACTATTTCGAAAAAGAACAAGACAGATGAATTCGAGATCTTACATATTTGCTGTTTACAGCAGAGAAAGATAACAACATAATGATTTGAATTGCTAATATAGATATGATATTAATAAGATGATAATGTAATTTTTATTACGTCAATAAAAATGTACATTTATGACTACTATGTAGTTTTCACTTACATAGAAATCTATGAACTATAGTCATATATGTAGATGTGAGTGTCGATAAAATGGTTAATTCATGTAGTAGAAAACTTGTTGTGAGTGAATGAAAAACTATTTTCTACTTATATTGTTGAAGAGATATAGAAACCATATATTATAACTGTGAATGAGAATAATAATACATCAAAGCATTCAATCTTTTAGAAGAAAATCAGGTAAAATATTTTAGAACTAAGTCATTTTTATCAAAAATGACAGCAAATGGTTTTATTTTAAATTGTAATTTTTCTTTTATTTTAATCAGGAAAGTAGCATTCTAACATGCTCAGTTGTTTTTTTTGCAATAATTTAATCTTGTCAACGTCTAACTTATTAGTGTCATAGATAAAAAAATCATGATTTTCATTTCATTTCTTGTTATTATCACAGTTAGACTCTTTTTTTGAGTAGATGAACAAAGATAGAAACTCAATCAAATAGAGTATTCAGCTGACAGACAATAGTTTTACTGAAAACTACATCATAATGATGTACAAAGAAGAAGTTATTATGACGTATATACTTTCTACTCAATTTTCTATTTTTCAGCGATTTAAAAAGAAATGAATGACGTCCTCTCATTAAGTTTTAATCTATATATTTATTTTAGTTTCTTCATATATTCATTCCAGTGAGTACAAATAAATGTCGTCATCATCAGACATAAGCCTCATTGTATCATTGAACAATGATATAATGCAAGTCAATCGTTATTTGGGAATCTTCATCTTTGTTTTCGGTATTATTGGTAATACTCTTAATGTATTAGTTTTGTCTCAACGACCTCTCTGTTTAAATCCTTGTGCATGGTTATTTCTTATTGCATCAATTGCTAATTCCATCGGTATTCTTGCTGGTCTTATATCTCGATTTTTATCTACTTGGGCACTTGATCTAACAAATACAAATCAATTTCTATGCAAAATACGTGCATTTCTCCTTTTCGATGGAATTACTATCGGTAGTTGGCTTATCGCATTAGCTACTATTGATAGATGGTTATCATCAAATATCAATGTCATTCGACGACAACAAAGCACATTGAAAAATGCTCAACGTAGTACAATTCTAGTTGTTATTGTTTCAACAATTATTCAAACACAACAGCTCTATTGTTTCGAAGCAAATCTTACTAATACTCCACTCAAATGTTATACACAAACAATCGTGTGTGGTATTATATCAGATGTATGCTTTGCACTTGTTACCATTCTATTTCCAATAATTGTTATGTTTATCTTTGGTTTAATGACTATTTCAAATGTACGCAAAACACAGTCACGTTTACAGCCAGAAACATTGACAATGAATGCTCGTAATGGTCACGAATCAACCATAACCAATATGAGAAATCCATTACAACGAAAGAAATCTGATCGTCATCTCTTGATTATGTTATTTATTCAAGTTCTTCTTATCCTTTTATTCACTCTCCCATTATCAGCATATAAACTTTATTCAACTCTCACTCGAAATGTTCTCAAGTCAACATTACAGAATACTATTGAAAACTTTATGTTCAATATATTTCTTCTTGCACTCTATGTTTCTTGCGGAATGCCGTTCTATATTTATACATTGAGTGGTGGTAGAGTATTCCGTAAAGCACTCTTCAGTTTGATGGAAGCATTACGCAGAAAGATGATGCATATATTACATCAATAATCTATTAATAAATTAAAATTTAATCCAGCGATCTCATGATTTTCTCAACAGTCAATAAATAGAACACTATATTTTCGGTGAAATATGTTTTCATTTTTATGTAATAATCATGATTTCTTTTAGTAAAATATAGTAGATTCTTGATTTCTTGATATTGAAGGAGCTAATATGACTAAAACTTAGCAAAAAATATAAGGTCGGAGAGAAGAACAAAAATAACACAAAACATGATGTCGCGAACTAGTAAAATATGGATTAATACCATAGATTAATTACAAGTTTTTTTCTGCTAATTATACAATGTATTAAAGTCAACTGCAGTGTTAATATAGCAACGATATGAGTTATTGATATGAAAGACTGAGAGAACATGACGTACAATAGATGAATTCTATATTATATATTTTTAGTTTTAACACTACAATTTTCTCAGTCATGAAATATTTGTATCAACTTATCTGATACTGAAGGATTATTGGATAACAAGCAACATAGGCTTTCTCAAAAGCAAATAGATCTACTAATTTTTCATTCCCTAGAATAATATTTCAGTGTTTATAAGAATGTGCAACGGTCAATTGATACAATGATTCCGTGTGTATCGAGTATGTGAGATTTATTATTCTAAACTACGTAGTTTTATTTTCAAACCCAATGGTGTTATGTGATACAATATTTATAATCCAACTCATGTAACAACAAACTACTTCCTGAAACGAATTTCTATGTTAAACACATAATTTTACGAAAATAAACTCTTATCAAAGTTTTGATAAAGCACATCGAAGGATATAGGTGTGGGTATGAATGTGGTGTGAGTGGGGAATGAATAGAATACTCACACCCATCACTGCTCAGACTCTTAATATTGATGATGATGCTATTATGAATAGAAATCAGCTTTAGTCGGTGGAGGACGAACAGTGAGCTCTGGACATTGCCCATTATTTGCTTTGCTGGGAATGCACAGTCCCTTACTATCGTGACTCAGCGTAGTAAAACTAATATTCGATCGAAGAACTTGTAGATCACACTTTGGTTTCAGAAGGCAGGCAAATGAAAGATGTTCCCACTTGCAGCGGCTTGGATTATAAGGCCACGAGTTTGCAAGGCCGAGAGACGTCGGATTGTTGCGTGGAACATTGGCCTGACTATGTGTGGACCGCACATGCCAGTGGAAGGTATCTTTTGGTACTTCTGATTTCGGACGGCAAAATACATCAGACTCTTCACATATCAGTGGAAAACGTGTTGACTCCACACTTTCTGGGGGGCATATAAGCACCGTATGCATCCATTCTTGCTGATACTGAAAAGTACCCATGTTTCTGAACTCTATCTGGTTGACATCTACGCCATGGTGCGCTGCCAAGTCATTCAACAGAGTATTGAACGAGATACTGAAACCATGTGGCCCGTAACGCGAAGAAGATTGCGTGAAAGAAGGAGATTCACCATAGTGTTCAGAGAACTTCTCAATGGCATCGTGAATTTGCTTCGTATTCTCATCCCCTTGCTTCTTATCTTTTGGGACGTGACTCCATATCGTTTTAGACACACACTTCTTCATGCATGCACGAATTTTTTGTTGCTGATCATTGCAAACGTAAGGTGAGAACCATACGAAATTAAGTTCATGCAATAGCTGATTTGAATCAGAGTAGCCACGCTTGGGATGAGCACGAAAGCAGGCATGTTCAGGATAATCGTTGTTGAGAATCGAACGCTTGTTGACAGTATGAGTAACGTGCATCACACGATCGAAACAAACATCATGAAAGTCGGGATCACACTTCAGTGGCGTTTCATCCTTGGTATGGTTGCAGTGATAGAAATCATATTCTTCCCAATCAATTGGCACATGTTCACTGGGGTACCATTTTTCGTTTTCGTTTGACGATGACTTAATCCAGTCATCTTTTACCATAATGGTGGATTGTTGCTTTAGCGAGCTAGCCATAACAGGGATCTAAAAGAAATCATTCAAAATGGAACGATATAGAAAAATACAGTGGTTATGGGCGTGTGTGTAGATAGGTGTAATATCTTTATACAACCCACACCCATTTACATGTATATTGGCACGCACCTGATCCTCAACCAAGAACTTTCTCGTGTTTTTACGTAAAACTTTCAAAATGGTACTTCATATTCATCACATAGGAAAGGCTCACGTTTAGGTTGGCTTAATTGAGGACGTGTTCAACAGTTTGGATCGATTTTAACGTGAAATGCTCTCTATAGATGCGTCATATCCCGGCCAAAGGTGTCAAGACTGCACTTTAAGGGTGTGGGTGTGGGTGTGCAGATATCTGAATACAGTTAATACGCTCTAATAAACTCTCAATAAGAAAAAATCCTGCAGAAAGGAAACTAAAAAAGTCCGCAGAGCTCTCATAAAATAATTAGTAAACAAAAAAATATTATTGTAAGGAGCTGAGGAACAAATGATTGAGACAGGAGAAAATCAACCGGAAGAACTTATACACCGAAAAAAAGGTCTATTACGGAACTAATAAGAGTTTTATAAAAAAACGGCTCCCATAATGAAACGAAATATAAATGAGGGTTTCGTAGGCCTCACAAAACCCTTAAAAGGTTTCGATGTTTGCAACGAATTCTAAATGTATTTTATGTTTCGCAGATTTTATACAAGACCCTTCAGAAAGATTTCTTGTCAATTGAAAATGATTTGAGCGTACCCTGTGTTTTCAAGAAACGTTTTTAGGGGGCTCCACTCCCTTCCTGAGAAAAATTTTCGAAATTTTCTTTTTATGTCTGAGTATAGATATACATGGCCTCTATATGCTGACCCTATTTTAAAACCGAAAACATACTTTCTATACATGAAAAGCATCAAACAAGTCCGTTTTTCTGTCAAAAACTGCTAAAAATCGAGATAAAAACGCTTTTTTCACAAAATCCATTTTTAGTAAAACTATGAGATATTCCTCCTTTTTCTCGGAAACGGTTTAGCCGATCGAACTCAATATTATTCTGGTAGTACTTCAATTAACTTGCGGGTGCATTTTTTTCGTCAATATCTCTTACCAATCAAATTTGGCAGGCTTCACAAGAAACCTAGCGTCCTGAAAAACTAGATTTTCAAGGAGATTTTCAGTATTTTGATTCCCATTCCGTGTGTTTTTGAAATTTTTCTAAAAGAAAAAAATACATCTCACAAATGGGGGCTGCTAGCCGCAGTATAAATTTCAGCTGAAAACATTAAAATTTCTGGATTCGCCGGCAGGAAAACTTTAGGCCATTTTGGGACCTTGAAGCCCATGTAGACGAGCCTTCGCAATTTTGAGCCTAGAAGAACTTTTTTTCTACTCATTGAGGTGTATCTACTTTGACAGTTTCGTAGATTTTGCCGTGACCGTTATTGAGAAACGCGGGAAAGGAGGAATGGGAGTATCTCCTTAAGGGTTTTAATTTCGTTGCGAAAATAGTTCGGTAGTGTACCTTTTTTCTCAGTGTAGGGCATTTACCGATGAATTTTATTTTTTGGTCAAGGAGTGTGTCTTTTGATAGAGATGATTAAGCTGTTGTTTATTCGACTAACATTCAAGTCCCTCCATCACAAAATAACGCTTAAGATCTTCACTAACCACTGATAGTTAGTAATTGACTTCTTTCAAATCTTGTGCATTTGGTCTGAATTACTATTTACACTCCTGAAAATCTCTATCAGAATAATATTAATATTTCTATCCAACGTGAATGCAGCCAACTCACCAAATTTATAGTATATTGATGCCAATAAATGCGCTCGGCGAAAACTTGACGATATACAGTTTTTTATATATGTTGTAACCAACAAATGCGAATGGTTTGTCTCAATGATGAAATTAAGTTTTCTACAATAGCAAAGAAAAAAAAAGAGTGCGCCTTTTAAAAAAACACATTAAGGTTGAAACAATAGACGCAAACTAAAAGGAATCCGCCGATAAGGAGTATTATTGATATGCATACATCTTTTTTTCTTTCTTATCAAAATCGAAAGGACGATGTATTTCATATGGAGGTATGAGAGCAAACAAAGAAAGCGAGATTTTACTTGTTATGCGGCTGCTCGATAAGTATGTCTTTCTATACTTTCTCCGAAAAATGAATCAAGTTGAAGAGCGTCGATGGCAACACCAATGATGATTGCATCAAACTCGAGCAACAACGGAGTATCGGTGTGGGTAAGGGTGGGTGTAAGTGGATAGGTGTGGGTAAGGGTGGGTGTGAGTGGATAGGTGTGGGTAGGTGTGGGCGTGAGTGGGTGTGTGTGAGTGGGTTTAGGTGGGTGTGGGTGTGAGTGTAGTTGTGAATGCTATCTCTATATTTAGAAGAGATATTTCTACCCACACCGGCACATCTGCACCAACACACCCACAACCAAGCCCACACCGACATACCCACACTCGCATCCTCTAGTTAGTTTTTTTAATACAGAACAATATGAAACGAAGTCAGAATATGATGTGGGTGTAGGGGTAGGAGTGAATAGTGTGAGTGGTGTGCTTGCTGTAGGTGTGGTCGGTTTGTATTTGAGTAATACGCTTCCCAGACCAATTCGTAACGAAAAATACGCCGTTTTAACACATTAAAAGCGCACATTTTTACACGTTAAAAAAATAATCTTTTGTAAGAAAAACGATTTTTAGGTTATTAACTATTAACAACTCAACCTTTTCTACAAAAAGTTAATTTTTTAAACGCGTAAAAACCTCGTATTTTTCGTTACTTGTCTGTCTCAATTATCTTATGGTTACATCCACACCCTACACCCGCATTCACATTCACACATACGCCCACATCTACATCCATACTCATGCCCATCCACATCAGAAACTACATGTATACCCACACCCCACATTCACACCCACAACTACATCCACACCCACACCCACCCACACCCACACCCACACCCTCAAGATGCTACACTGAATTGAGGTTAAAAGTTTGTTTTTAAACTATCCGATTAATCCTTTTGAGCAAAAGATGAAACC